TTTCCTTATTTCCTAGGTTAGACAACTTGCTGAACTGTATATATATTGCTCTGTATTTGCTCAATGAATATATACAAAAGCTTAAGCCTTCAACATTGGCTTGAATCATTTCTAATAGTCTTCCTCTAATGTTATTCCCATTATTAAACACCTTACTATTTCTCCAATACCATCAGTACCAAGATACAACAAGAAATATGCAAGCCCCCATCTCCTTCCCAATTATCTTACCCACATCTTGTACAAAAATCTCTGCCACTCCTAAAATATTATTAGGTATAACAGTCTCCATGCCCCACCATTATAGAATCTCTACCCAAATAATGCAGGCTTCTTTACACATACAAAATAAATGATTAGCTTCTTCAACCATGTCATAACACAACCCACACATTAACTCCTCCTCCTGCAGAGAGACCCCTCTTTTCATAATATTCCTCTTAGTTGGTAACCTATCAAGGCATAATCTCCACCCAAAGAAAGACACTTTGGATGGTACCAATCTACACCAAATTAGCTTGCTCCACTGGTCCTCTAAGATAATCTCTGTGGGATACTACTCTGAGCAATATATAGTTATTAGTCAATTTTAATGCATCCTAAAAACAATCTACTGAATTTAGAAAAGCAATAGAATCGGACATGACAGATTTCACTTAGGCATAATTTAGATAATTAGCAAGGTACAGACCAAGTCTTGACAGTTAGCATAAGCATTTCATATCAAAATTAGGCATAAACAGAAGTTAAACATGATATGGTGTACATCAACAAAATAGATTTTCCTGCATTTCATAATTAGCTATAGAATCCAGGATTAGTCTTAATATAAATGAGACTTAAACAAAAGGAGTGCAAACATAAACACCAAAAAAATAAATGAGTTTCCACCTTCCCGCTTACTCTCCAGGCCTAGGGCTGCAGCAAACTTTTTCTCCAGAAACTGCTCTATGTTTCGTTAAGCAGTTTTCTTCGTATGTTATTTTGAGGATTTTGTGTAGATTCTAATGTTTATGATCTGTTTACTTGTATTGTAATATAGCGGATGAGTTTATTTCTCTATAATATAATAGTTTATTTGTGGCAAAAAAATGGTTTCATACTCATGATTGAATCTATATTGTTTTGAATGATTGATGTTTACTTGAATTATCTTCCTAAAGAATCCTCATCTACTCTGTTTTATTCGTAGATGCAAAATCTACTCAAAAAATATGAGGGCTTTTGTAAGGAGCCCAGAATTATTGACGAGCTCAAAGCCTGCAGTGAAAAGTGCAGGAAAAGAATTGAAGAAAGTACAAAGGTATGATCAATTATAATCTTAGTTTATGCACTTTCTATCAACCAAACAGATTTATAAACCAAGAAAGCACTGGCATGATCAGAATGTGATAATGTAAAAACCTTGTAGTAGTTCAATTGATGGTGATTAGCATTTTAGTATATAGTTGCTGATATTAGAGCCAAGCTTAGTAGTTTGCAGTTATTTAGTTAATTTAGTTGCATTTAGTGATAGTTTTTCTTTGTAATTAAAGATTTGTGTTTGAATTATATATTTGTAAAGTGAATTCGTTACTCTTCAGAAATGGCAAGAACTGTTCAAGAAATTTTTTGAGGAGGGAGTTACTGAGAAGTTCAAAGCCGTTTGTTTAAAGGTGTGATGATCTTTCTCATGAGTTTCTTATCCAAAACTTTTCTTTATGCACTAGTAAGTCTATTTTAATCATTTTAGCATTGCATTGGATTAAAAACAAATTTATAAAAAATTTTACTAAACAATTTTTCATTTTACAAGTATTTCTATAAAAAATTTTACTAAACATTTTCAACTTCTCCAAAATAATACTTCTACAATAGATTCTTCTAACATAACTTATAAATTCTTTTCAATAGGACTTACAAATTCTTTCCAACACGATTTCTATTAAAGGTTTCAATCAAGTCAAACGAGCTCTTGAATTACAAAAATATATAAAATATTAATTAAAATTATTAAAAATATATAAAATAATAATTAAAA